GCGTACGGGGGGAGGGGGGCGGGGCCTCGTCATCCACATTGAGCGACTCTCACCTGGAAAAACTTTTTCCCACTGGACACAGAAACATATGTGCTGCTTTATCCACTGTGCACATGGACTCACACTTGTCCCAACGCAACGGAAAGTGTGGAATTTCTTCTACAAATCCTGGTTAAATCCACATTTGTGCTTCGGTTCGTTACAGACTGACCCACTGTTTGTGTCTCGCTCCTTCTGATGCAAGAGACACATGTACACACCTGTTTGGTTACGCTACACACAGCAACCTGCATTCGGTTTGTCGATTAAAATTAACGTAATCGATGAAATTCTTAATGATCAATTATCGATTAATCGATTAATCATGCCCATCCCTAATCCAAACGATGTTCCTCGCATTTGCACCTCTACAAGAACTTTGGCGTGTGTTTTCCGTTTCATTTAAAAAGGAGCTGTTCACTGGAAAACTACCACCTTGTGACATCACAACGTGGAACAGAGCATTTTGAGCTTTGCAGATGCAGACACACAAATAAAACATTTTTTAAAAAGAGTTACTCAGACACGTGTGAATGAAACAAACACAAGTCCAGGTCTGTATTTGAGGAGTTTACAGCGTCAGAACATGGCTTAAAGAGTAAATTTTTAATCATAATACGGGACATTTAACAGAGCCAGTGTTTCAGTAGTACAGCTCGTCGCCATGACAACATCGAAAAAGGACGATAACTCAGATTTTTCAATAAACATACATTATATTTTTGGCATAAATGAGGCTTGGATATCTAAAATGTCGACCCAAATTGTCAATAATTATATAATCACGACGTAGATATTATAGGTTATTTTTTATTTTTTTTTACAAATTTAGAAGTTTAAATGTGTTTTTTTTTATTTTTCACATGCAGATGAAAAGTCGAGGGCAAAAGTTTCCTGTTAGTAAAATGTGCAACGGTAGCATTAGAAGAAACTATCTGTGTCATGAGGTAAACGACGTGAAGAAAGAAACTGTGAGGCGTTCGTTTAGTCGTTTTTCAAAATAAAATCAAAAATAAGAAAATTAAAAAATAAAAACAACGATTTTCTTCATGATTTGTCGCCAAAACCAAAATGAAAAACCGATAACGGACTGAACCAGGACTGAACCAGGACTGAACCAGGACTGAACCAGGACTGAGCGTCAACTGTTGGGTTGACCGGGACTCAGACCGGGACTCAGACCGGGACTCAGACCGGGACTCAGACCGGGACTCAGACCGGGACTGAGACTAGGACCAGACCAGGATGAGACGAGGACTGAGACAGGGACCAGACCAGAACTGAGACCAGGATCAGACCGGGACCAGCACCAGACCATTACAAGATCAGGACTGAGACTAGGACCAGACCAGGATGAGACCAGGACCAGACGAGGCCGGGATGAGAGCAAAACTGAGACCGGGACCAGACCAGGACTGAGATCAGGACTGAGATCAGGACTGAGACCAGGACTGAGACTGGTTCAGTCCTGTTTTAGTCCTGGTTCAGTGCTGGTTCAGTCCTGTTCTAGACCTGGTTCAGACCTGGTTCAGACCTGGTTCAGACCTGGTTCAGACCTGGTTTAGACCTGGTTCAGACCTGGTTTAGACCCGGTTTAGTCCAGGTTCAGACCTGTTTTAGACCTAGTTTAGTCCTGATTTAGACCTGGTTCAGTCCTGGTTTAGACCTGGTTTAGACCTGGTTCAGTCCTGGTTTATTCCTGGTTCAGACCTGTTTTAGACCTGGTTCAGTTCTGGTTCAGTTCTGTTTTAGTCCTGGTTCATTTAAACATAAAATCGAAAACTGAAAAAAACTAATCATTATCTGTTTTTTTATTCTGGAAGAAAATCGTAGTTTTTCCATTTTCTTATTTTTGGTTTTATTTTGAAAAAACGACAACGAACGACACACGGGTTTGTCTGGACGAATATCGAGACTTTGCAGCCGACGTCCGCGATGTTTCCCGGGGGTGTGACGCTAACGGGAGGCACCGCTCTGTCTGACTTTAATCTGAGTTTTATTTTAACACAACCTGACCAGAAAAAACTGATCACAAACTCGTAAAAAAATCAATTTCTTGAGCTTTAAAACCTTTCGACAGCGTTTGCGTTGCGTCTCCATGGTAACGCCTCAACATTCCACCATTAGAGATGCACGTAGAACACCCCCGAGCGCGACGTCTCCGGTTTGAGATTTTTTTTTTAGGTCCGATAAAACTCGAGTTATTTATTTCTTTTGTGCTGGTTTTGAAAAGATAAAATCTGCAGGAGGAAGATGAAGACGCGGGGAATCTGTGTGTCGTTCGTTCAAACGTTTTTCAAAATAAAATCAAAAATAAGAAAATGAAAAAAACTAAAAATATTTTCTTCGTTATTTGTCTCCAAAACCAAAATGAAAAAATGGATAATGATTTGTTTTTTTTTGTTTTCGATTTTGTGTTTAAATGAAAAATGGAAAAAATGGATAATGGACTAAACCAGGACTAAACCAGGACTGAACCAGGACTGAACCAGGATTAAACCAGGACTGAACCAGGACTGAACCAGGACTAGACTGGGACCGGACTAGGACTTAAGACCGGGACTTAAGACCGGGACTAAACCAAGACTAGGACTAAGACTGGGACTAGACCAGGACTGAGACTAGGACAGAGACCCGTTCAGCCCTCGTTCAGTCCTGGTTCAGTCCTGGTTTAGACCTGGTTCAGTCCTGGTTTAGTCCTGGTTCAGACCTGGTTTAGTCCTGGTTCAGTCCTGGTTTACACCTGGTTCAGTCCTGGTTTAGTCCTGGTTAGTCCTGGTTAGTCCTGGTTTCAGTCCTGGTTTAGACCTGGTTCAGTCCTGGTTTAGACCTGGTTCAGTCCTGGTTTAGACCTGGTTCAGTCTTGGTTTAGTCCTGGTTCAGTCCTGGTTTAGTCCTGGTTCAGTCCTGGTTTAGTCCTGGTTTAGTCCTGGTTCAGTCCTGGTTTAGAGTCCTGGTTCAGTCCTGGTTTAGTCCTGGTTCAGTCCTGGTTTAGTCCTGGTTCAGTCCATTATCCATTTCTTCCATTTTTCACTTAAACACAAAATCAAAAACTGAAAAAACGAATCATTATCTGTTTTTTCATTTTGGTTTTGGAGACAAATAATGAAAATAGTCGTTTCTTCCTTTTCCTATTTTTGGTTTTATTTTGAAAAAAACGAATAAATGAACGACACACGGACTGTAGGAAAAGAGGAACGCGACATTTGGATCATAAATATTTCCGTCGGCTATGGCTTACACAAAACATCTAAGAAAATATACTGTACTATTTAGATCTGCCTTCCTATGTCTGTGTGTGGTTTAACGTACATCTCCAAGAGGCTCTGTTCACGCTCACGTCACTGAACCGCGACACCATCGGAAACGTGCGGATCACGACTTCCTCTGGATCTGTTGGCGAGAGGAAAAGCGCTCGGGACTCGTGGAAAACCGACCTCCACCTCGAGAAAGTGCAATGAAACGGCCAAACAAATGAAACCAAAACACAAACTCGGCCCAGTTCAGTGCCGACGCTTTCAGTTCTGCATCTAGATTTTCCCCAAATGCTGCAACGGAACATTTAAAGGAACAGTTCGGGTTTTTTGACATAAATCTGTATGGCATCGCAACACTGACTTACCCCAGACAGCGTCCGGTGAGCCGAGCCGTGTCGAGGAGTAACAGATTACAAGTACCAGAGTTAAGTAATCAGAGTACAAATTATGAGTAACTGTATTCAGTTACAGTTACTGTTTCAGTGAGTGGTAATTGGATTACAGTTACTTTGTTGAAATAAATGGATTACAAAGTGGTATTTTACTGTTTTCACATTTTGGACTAAACCAGGACTAAACCTGGGACTAAACCAAGACTAAAATCAGGACTAAACCTGGGACTAAACCAAGACTAAAATCGGGACTAAACCAGGACTAAAACCAGGACAAAACCAGGACTAAACCCGGTCTAAACCAGGACTAAAACAGAACTAAAACCAGGACTAAACCGGGCAGCAGTGATCTCATATAAAAATCATTTCTCTATCAATTATATTTTTAATCTGATTAAGTAAAGTCTGTTTTTTATTTTTTTTTTTTTTAGCAGATAAAACATCTGATGTTAAGATTCTGGTCTTTTCTTCTCTACAGTAAAACAAAAGTCTGTTCATGGAGACTTGGACTCAACAGACAATTTGAAGAGAACAAACATGAATTTTCAGGATGTGGTTGGTTCATTCATGTAGTTTTAAAAAACATGACAATATCAAGTAATCCAAAGTATTCAGATTACGTTACTCACTTTAAGTAATTTAATGGATTACGTTACAAACTACATTTTGGGGTATGTAATCTGTAATCTGTAGGGGAATACATTTTAAAAGTCACCTTCCCAACACTGGAGCCGAGATACTGGCCGTTTTCGGTGTTGACGAAAGTCGTCCGGCAAGTTGTCTGGGGACAGTAAAATAAAGCGTTTTTCTTCTCAAAACAATCTGTGTTCAAAAGAGTGATACATTTGCATCACAAAACCATCGTCCTCCAAAAAGTCAGACCTCATAATCACTTGGCACTATTTTCTCTCCGTTCGTATCACTGCGCCAGTTGACAGCCGCGCACGAATCCATCACTTTCTGCAGTTGTTCGGCAGTGTTTACGTGCGCAGACGTGAGAGAGCTAACGTGAGAGCTAGAGCCATAAGTATATAAGTTTGTATAAGATACATAAGAATATATCTTAAAAATCTTGTGGACTCTTGACTATCCAGGCTGTGAACCAGGCGCGGCTGTCACCTGGCGGCAGTGCGCAGTGATACGAACGGAGAGAAAATAGTCCTAAGCGATTATGACGTCTGACTTGTTGGAGGACGATGGTTTTGTGATGCAAATGTATCACTCTTTTGAACACAGATTGTTTTGAGAAGAAAAACGCTTTATTTTACTGTCCCCAGCACAACCTGCCGGACGACTTTCGTCAACACCGAAAACGGCCAGTATCTCGGCTCACCGGACGCTTTCGGGGTAAGTCAGTGTGGATGCACAACGCCGCTCATGGGGATGACACAGATTCATGTCAAAAAACCTGAACTATCCCTTTAATCCGTGTATCATTCGTTCATTCATTTTTCAAAATAAAATCAAACATAAGAAAACAAAAAAACAACAATTTTCTTTATTATTTGTCTCCAAAACCAAAATGAAAAAACAGATAATGATTTGTTTTTTTTTCAGTTTTCGATTTTGTGTTTAAATGAATAATGGAAAAAAACAGGACTGAACCAGGACTAAAACAAGACTAAATCAGGACTGAACTGGTCTCAGTCCTGGTCCCAGTCTGGTCGTGGTCTGGTCCCGGTTTCAGTCTTGATCACTCAACAGTGTACGTGGGCGCAACTCCAGGCCCGTCCTGACACTTCTGGTTTAGTCCTGGTTTAGTCCTGGTTCAGTCCTGGTTCAGTCCTGTTTTAGTCCTGGTTCAGTCCATTATCCGTTTTTTTCCATTTTTCATTTAAGCACAAAATTGAAAACTGAAAAAACAAATCATTATCGTTATTTCCATTTTGGTTTTGGAGACAAATAATGAAGGTTTTGGTTTTATTTTGAAAAGCAAATGAACGAACGATACACGGATTCACTTAAAGTAGAACACGACACACATTTACACACACATTTTGCCAGAAAACCATTAAACCGAAGTTCCACAAACCTAAAACGAGACACTTAAAGGTCTATTCGAGTCCCGTCATTCATGTAAATCTTTGTCAGGTCGTTAAGACGCTGCTCCTGAATCCTCGCAGTATCGATCTCTACACCGGACGTCGTCATCCGCACGTTTTTTTTTTTTTTTTTCGCCAAACATCTTTCTGTAACCGTGAACAGAGCCTAGTCCTCGTAGAACTACTCTTATCATAGACATAATCTTACTAACAGTTAATTTGTATTCATAAAAATATACCTTTATGCTTTTTGTCTTTACTCAGCTTCAGTTTCAGCTTCAGCACTGACTTCTTCAGACTTAAAAGGCGCATCGTGTCGCTTTTCGGCCGCCCGCCCGTCACCTTCCCGCTTCCTTAAACGCGTCATTGTTCTGCAGGAATGTTCCGCCGTGTGAAAAAAATCGAAAGTTAGAGCTGTTCAATGTCAGTTAGGGGCGGTTTTACAGCTCGAAAACACAGGCGTTCCGCAGATCTGACCTGTAAACTTGGTCTGGTTTGGTCTCCGTGAAGACAGAAAGCAAAACATTCCAGACTAGGGATGGGCATTCGATTCAATTTTTTTAATCGATCGTCGGGAGAATTAAAGATTGATTATCGATTAATCATTAAAATTATCATCATTATTATTACGATCTGCACTGCTAATCTGCATAAATAAATTCAACTTTACGACATATAAATCGTGACCACTTTAGAGCCACATCAGCCCGTTTGACATTATAATGTGTTTAATGCAGATTTATCCAAGTCTCACAGAAACTAAACTTAAAACCTCAAGGCTAATTTCCATAAACTAAGCGAAGAACTGTGCACTGACGCAGTTCAGCTTCTGTCGGATTTAAGGACACGACTCAGTGGAAAACAGGTTAGTGCAGGGGTGGTCAAACTTTTTGGCTCGGGGGCCACATACGGTTCTAGAGACGAGACAGGACATGACGTGTAAAGAGCCCGGCTCCACTGCACTCATATTTACGCTCATAAAGAACGTATTCTGCACTACGCGCTGCAACGTTTGGACGCGTAATCTTCAGAATTCATGGAAAGTGAATGAGGTCTGCTCCACGGCACACCACAGGCGAGCGCGAGTCCTGAGAACTTTGATCTCATTGAAAAACAGAGTCCATGCCACGAGGGTACACGCATTAACACTTTCACGTACAGTAAAACCAGATCCATTAGATGTTCCACGTGTTAAGGTCTATAACACATTGTCTATAAGGTCTTTTAACTTTACTTTAAACCCACTCACCATGGAAACAGTGCAGTGTAATGTCTTGAACACTTCTACCTCACTCATGGTCCGAATAAACCGCCCGAAAATGACTCCTGTCACTATAATCCGAAAGAACACTTTCCCATAAAGCACTGCGACATAATACGCCGTAGTTTGCCCACCCCTGGGTTAGTGTGACCGACCTAATCGATGAAATTCTTAATGATCAATTATCGATTAATCGACTAATCGTGCCCATCCCTACTTCAGACAAAGCAATAACATCTCCAAGCGTTCGATGAAGCCTCCACCGGAAAAGTGACACGATGCAGCTTTAAAATACCGAACAGCGAATCCCTTTGAGACAGTACGCAGCCCCAAAAAGTTCTTTCAAAACAACAAAAATTCAAGATTACAGGAAAAAGGAGTTGTGAGTTTGAGCTGTTGAGTCGTTGAGCTGCAGGTGAGAGGTGTTGGTCTGTTGAGGTCTATGGTGTGAGTCCTGAGGGGCACTAGCCGGGACGAGCTTGTGTCTTCTTGTTGAAAAATCAAAATGTACCTATGTGTTAATAATCTTTGAAAAGTATTAAATTAAAGACCAGTGCATCTCTTCAAAGTCTGTGCCCAGGTTGGTGTCCGTCGCCAGGAAGCGCATGATCGCCGAAATGGTGGCTTCATCGTTGTCCAAGTCCAGCTGCGACGATTCACCTGAGAAAAAAATAAATACAAATGAAGATGTATTGTGCCCGTGTTTGTTCTAGAGTTTAATCAAAGACACATGTCGGTCATTATGTTATAAAATCTGTGTCATTTGTTTTTCAATATAAAAGCAAAAATAATAAAATGAAAAAACAACTATTTTCTTCATTATTTGTCTCCAAAACCAAAATGAAAAACAGATAATGATTCGTTTTTTCAGTTTTTGATTTTGTGTTTAAATGAAAAATGGAAAAAATGGATAACGGACTAAACCAGGACTAAATCATTTTCGGTCCCGGCCTCAGTCTCAGTCCCAGTTCCAGTTCCAGTCCCAGTCTCTGTCCGGGTCTGGTCCTGGTCTTAGTCCCGGTCTCAGTCCCAGTCCCGGTCTCAGTCCCAGTGAGTCTCAGTCCCAGTCACAGCCTGGTCCGGGTCTGGTCCCAGTCTCAGTTCCAGTCCCAGTCCCGGTCTCAGTCCCGGTCTCAGTCCCGGTCTCAGTCCCGGTCTCAGTCCCGGTCTCAGTCCGGTCTCAGTTCCGGTCTCAGTTCCAGTCTCAGTTCCAGTCTCAGTTCCAGTCTCAGTCTTGTCCTGGTTTTGGTCTCAGTCCCAGTCTGTGTCCGGGTCTCGGTCCTGGTCTCAGTCCATTATCCATTTTTTCCATTTTTCATTTAAACACAAAATCGAAAACTGAAAAAACACATCTTCATTCGTTTTTTCAGTTTGATTTTGGAGACAAATATGTTTTCTTATTTTTGGTTTTATTTTGAAAAACGAATGAATGAATGACACACAGATTTTATAAACTTGGATATTTTAACTTCCATATTTTTCAGACTATAAGACGCACTTAAAATCTTCTCAGAAATGTTCTCAAAAATCAACACTGCGCCTCATGTATAAATATTGTAAAGGTTTGTAGATGATTTACCGTTCTCATTCCCCATGAGCGCGTCTCCTCCTGAAAACGCCGCCCCCTGTGCTTCCTCCTCAGAATTAGACTTCCCAGGTTTCTCCATGTCCGTGGCCTCTCCGTTTGGCACCTGGAAAAAACACAGGAGCACGTCACATCAACACACAGGTCTGATACGAAGAAGAACGTATCGAGGAGTTTGCAGAGAACAGATTTCACGTTGGCAGGCGACAGGGAGCACACACTCACATTGTTGGTGACTTGGTGGTGAGTTTGTGGAGATTTGTCCGGTGGGAGACTGAAAGGACTCACGGTGCCGCTGGAGGGAGAAGAGTTGATCCTAAAAACACACACACACAACATTGTTTTAAAATGTTTATATGTAATTATGTTAATAAGGAATCCAGTGAGGTCCTGAGAATGAGACGTGTGTCATCACATTCTAGTTGCATGTAAGAGAGATGAGCCCGGTCAAGCAGAAGTAAACAACAAGGCCAAAAATTCAAGTTAATTCATCTGATATAAAAATGTATTGAACAGATACATATGTACTCTAGTTTATGAAACTGTTGACCTTTTTTCTGTACCATTTTTGGTTCTAAAGTTACATACGTTTTAAACAGACCATGTATGAAACATGGAACAAAAATTATTTCTCAAATTTCAAAGACCTGAAAATCATGTAAATAAATGGATGTATTTCATCATATCTTGTGTTATTCCATCTTTGAACTGTTGATGAAGGTACATGATTTTTCACAAAAAAAATGTATTTAAAATGATAAAAATGTTCTTGGAAGGACTGACATATTTTATAGAAATAGTTTCCTTTCATTTTGAAGTAATATTAAAGTATTCGGAAGAAAAAAGTGACAAATGATGTAAAATCCTGCACCTTCTACTTGTTGGAACAATTTTCCCTCCGTTACTTTTCCCTCCGTTACCATGACCTTTCTTAATAAAAAATCTCATGAGTCAAAAAGTCAGAGGTTTTTCAACCTAATCTTGTTCCATATGGTAGAAAACTATATGAAGCAAATATTCAAACCAGTTTGTTAAGGATATGTAAGTGAGAACCAAGAGTTATCACTGTTTGGATTTATTGACCAAAAAGTGCTGCATATTTCATTCCCTCCGTTACCGACATGAGTTTTTAAATTTTTTTGTCAACAACTTGAAAGAATATCACAGGTTTAACTTGACCCTGTTGGAGTGTAACTCTTTCCTACATTCTGATACTTTACTTATTTCAATAGTTCCTCTAGTTTCTGAATAAGAGACATTTGAATGTCAAAAATCTGACCCTGTTTCCCTCCGTTACCACTTGACCGAACCCACATTCATGTTTTTGATTTAAAGATCTGTGTCGAGGTCTATGGGCCACAAACTAATTCACTGCCACCGCGAGGATTTAAACCTGGCATTTACAAAATGAAGCGGGAAAGCGGAGTACCAGAAATGTCTGTAGAGCGGCGGTAGAGACGACCAATCACAGCCCTTCCCTTCGCTTTCCCTCCTCCGCTTCCTCTCAATCGCCAAACTGAATCGCCAACAAATTTTACCAAAACTCCTAAAAACTGCTCCCATTTCCTGCCCGCGATGTTGCGTCATCTTTCTTTTTTTACGTCACTTCGAAATCGGGATTTCACTGCAGCATCATCTGCTTCTCCACTTTTTCTGTGAAGCTGAGGCTGATCGGAATATGATCGTTCACTGTAATATTTTTATGCAGGGATATATCGCACTTCAAAATGTGTTATGACATTTTGTGTAAAACAGTTAAAACACACTGGCATGAAAACAGAACTCTGGTACCTGTTGTGGTCCAGCTGCTCGTTTGCGATTTGGACCCCGATGCTTCCGGGAAAAATCATGGCTCCCGGAGAAGAGCTCCAAGGAACCACACATTTCTTTCCATCTTCATAAACAAGAGAAAAGTCCGTGTGGATCACAGTAAGTCTCATGAGTTTTATTAAATTAATTATTCGTATTTTTAGTCTGATTAGTTCAAAGTGAAACTGGGACAAACCTTCCGACGTCTTGGAGTTGGTTGATTGTCCAGACCTGCTTCCTGATTGGCTCGGTCGACTGTGATCGTGACTTTGGGAAAATAAAAACCGGACGATGATCAAATCCGAAGCTGTCGAGTAAAAACATGAGACTAAGAACGAGAAGAAAAATACTCACGATATAACGGTGTTTGTGGACACGATGTACTCCACGTCTTTGGTCCAGGGGTTGACGAAACTAAACCACAGACTCCTCAGGGTGACGAAGGAGCCGTGTTTTGTTTTGAATTTATAGCAGTTTGTTTCTATTTTCTCTTTGCTTCGTAGGACTGTGAAAAAAAAGCATAAAACACTGTGGTTAGTTTGTGTTTTTAGGTGTTTCCTAAGTGGAAGCTAATTTGTTTAATCAGATTTTGAATTTTAAATGCAGCTGAACTTCAGTTACGGAATTTTTAAGAATACGTTTTCAGCGTCTTTTATGGAGTAAGAAAGCTTTCAGAAATATTTGTGCGCATAGAATAGAAATCCGTGCGTATTTGTCTGTAGCTGCGCATAAAATAAATATTTGTGAACTCTCAAATGAGTCCAGTCGTACATAAAATGTGTGTATTTTATCCATCAGAATACGAATTGAAAAGTTATGATGTCAAGAATTACAACCACGAAATGAAAATTACACTTTGATCAGTAGGAAGATGAATTCACATACGAGACTTTCAAAAATATGTTTCTTGCTGGTCCAATCTATTGATCAAACTGAGATCTGACTCTATTGTATAGTTGATACCTGGAGATTTTTCATTCATATATGTTCTTAGAATGTACACAATATGTACCGTATTTTTCGCACTATTAGTCGCTCTGGATTATAAGACGCACTGTCATTAAATGGTCTATTTTTGAACTTTTTTCACAAATAAACTGCGTGGGACTTTAAATGAAACCCAACAGTGTGATGTGTGAGTGGTTTTGTTTGTTTGTTCGTTCACGGTGACTCTGGGCTTTGTTCAGTTGTGGCGTGTAGGGAGGGTGTGTCTGGGACCAACGGATTGTCGGCGTGTTCGCAGTGACTCAGTTGTTCAGTCGTGTCTAGAAGCGGCACATTGCACTCGCTTTTTCGGTTCGTTCCTCCGTTCCGTTCCTCGTCGGCGTGGAGTGATGAGTGTGTCTGTGGGTGTGTTTCTCTGTGCGGTCGCTGTCTGCTCCGTGTGTGTTTGTGTGTTCTGCGGGTGGTGCGGCTTTGTAGTTTACTCAAGTCGTGCTGGGACACCGGAGTGGATTCATGTATTGCTCTGGATTGTGGGGGGCGCCTAATAGCCTGGAAAATACAATACCCGCCTACCGTCAAGTGAACGAATCCTAATGCTGCGAGGTCAGACGGTTTCTATAAAGTGAAACCGGCTGATGAATGAAGCTAATGTTTGAGTAACCCTTGTATTAAATTTATAAAATTTTCTTTTTCTCCTTGTGATGTAATTCAGTGGTAGTTTCCAAGTGAACATCTACTTTTTAACTTTAGTTCCGTGGAGACTGGCAATTCCAGAGCTGAAAATATCCAAATGATTCTAGCAAAGTCGTATGGAGTTTAAAAACACAGTAAAGCACTTCCTGTATTACCACATGACATCACAAGGTGGAACAGCGTGTTTTCAGTTTGAGAGAAGAACTCTTAAGTCTAAATGTGCAGGGTTTGTGGGTTAAACATGTGTGACTACAACAAAACACAACTCCAGGTTTGTTTGTGACGAGGAAACAACATTAGAACAGATCAGAAAGGGTCTTTTAAAATTTTATCAACTAAAATTCAGCATAAAAATGATTCAAACATGTTTTTTTCAGAATGAACGGCATTTAAAATCCTAAATCTGATTAAACAAATTCTCTTAAAAACCCTGTGGAACATTCACCCTTTCGATGGCGGTCGGCCAGATGCGCCCAGTCGTCCTGGTGGAAGTACTCGTAACATGAAGTGCCCAGCAGCTCCTGAGGCAGGTACCCCAGCACGGTGGTCGCCCTGGCAACGGCACAACAGGGTTAGAGGGCAGCGATGAAGGATGGGACAAGAACTCATGACACAAACTTTTTCCACGTGTTTATATTTGGATTGGACAAAAAAGGGTCAGGTGTTGGCGAGTTACAAATCCTACAGTTCCTAAAAGCAGCACTAGAACGGAAATAAAAACATAAAATCAAATAAAAAATGTGAGGCCAAAATAAGAAACAGGATTGTGAAATTTATCTCGAATCGCGTCTCGTCTTGTGGAAATTGTGTCTCGTCTCACACTTACGCACTATGGAACTTTTCTGAGTGTGCTGCTGCTGTGTGCTCGTCTCCATGGAAATGTTAGTAATTGCTTTTCTTGGAATGTTCCACAGTATGGCATTAAAGGAATCTCTCACAGACTGTGTAAAAAAGTGGACTGACTGAGTTCGGCTCCAGTCAAATGAAGCTCATTGAGGCGGCAGTTATAGGAGCGAATCTTGAGCAAAGTAACATATTAGGAATAAGAATTGATTTATGGAAATAACAGCAAAATAAAAACACCAGGATCATGAAGAACAGGTTAATTATTAGAACATTTTAAGACCAAAATGACGAGGCTCACAGCAGCAGGTACAGAGACTGTGAATGTTAAGATGGAAGTGACTTGAAGCCCCCAGGTTCCAAGATGGTCGCCCATTCAAGTCAATGGGCTGAGCTCAATGGTGCATGATCCCAGATTCGCCTTTAGTCCAGCGAGGTTCTTCCAGTGGCTGTGGGCCGACCGAACATGTGCAGTAGAGTCTTTTCTCCTGCGAGCGCACGCGACGCGACCGCACGCGAGCGCACGCGACCGCACGCGACCGCCACTGTAGATCCAGTGAGTGTCACTAGGTCAACTGGAGGCAGCTACAATCAACAATACTGTATCCAGTTATTTTAATACATCCATGATTTATCTTCTTGGTCCAGCCCCAAAGGAGTTTCAGAGTGAAACCGCCAACATCATTATTAAGTCTCTGTTGTGTGTTACTCTAAGTATCTGATCACATTTGGTTGGTTCTGGTCTTGTTCTTGTCTTTAATTGGCCGAAACAGAGTAACACGAACAGTTATGACATGAGTCATTATTTTAACGGTTGTTGGATCACAGATCATTACAGAGCGAATAACGTTTCCCACACTGACCTTTGATCGACAAAGGTGAACTTCCCGTCCATGGCGTAGCGCGTCACAAACTCCATGGGCTTGATGTGGACCTCTCCGTTGACCTGAGGCGAGGAGTGGGCGTGGATCCGACCCAGAGCCACCAAACAGCTGAAGTGAGAGCTGTCCTTATCGGCCTCGGCCTCTCCGTCGCCCCCCAGCTGGCTGGAGGGCCAACTGCGCATGTATCCTGTGCAGTGGACAGTGCAGTACTTCTGGGACTCTGCAGAAACATGTTTGATTTTATTTTCAAGAGATTTTCTCTTCAGATGCACCGTCCCCTTTCAACAGGGTTAAAAAAGCAGCTGGAAATACTTTTACTAAGCTGTAGTCAAATGAAATACACGGTCGACTAAAGACATGAACTTTGCATCGATTATTCAAATAAAAGACGACGTGGAGTTAGAAAAAGATCTCAGAACAGTAAAACAATATATAATCCAATAATCCAATAAAATAATAAGTCACATTATAAAAGTATCTAGACTAAGATCAGCTGATTTAAGGGCCGTTCACACCAAAGTGTCAAAAAATGCCTTCATGCCTCTATTTGGAGCCTTTGCATTTGAGTTTAGATGCCCCCGACGCGCGTCTTTGACGCCGTGAACGAACGGGAGAAAAATACTTGACGCGCGTTCGTTGCCCTGGAAACAAGAGCCCGGTCCCGCTCTTTTCCCAAAACAATGTCAGACCAGACTGAGAGAGACTTTAGTGTTTTTATGACATAAAACATCAGCCGAGGAGATCAGGTCGACGACTGGGGCGAGTTTATATTTATACTCCACTAATGACACTGGATCAGTCCTGGATCAGTCCTGGTCTAGTCCTGGTCTAATACTGGTCTGGTCCCTGTCTAGTCCTGGTTTAGTCCTGGTTTAGTCCTGGTCTAGTCCCGGTCTAATACTGGTCTGGTCCCTGTCTAGTCCTTGTTTAGTCCCGGTCTAGTCTCGGTCAAGTCTCGGTCAAGTCTCGGTCAAGTCCTGGTCTGGTTCTGGTGTAGTCCTCGTGATCGTGCTCGGTGATTGTGGTGTATATATTCATGCTCCGCTCATGTTTGTGGTTCTCGTTCTGGTTCTCGGGTTTTTCTTCCTGATAATAACGTCGCTGCGTCTCTGGATACTCGTCCCTGATTGGTCGACGCGGCGAGTCTGGCGCGAAAAGTTCAGCATTTTCAACTTCTTGACGCTGACGCCTTGGACGCGCGTCTAGAGCGTCGACGCGAAAACGCTCAAAACATCGACTTTACATAGAAACTGGACGCTTTGACGCTTTGGTGTGAACGGCCCTTAACACCTATAGTCCCAAAGTCCCTCTGTCCCTCTGTCCCTCTGTCCTTCTGTCTGTCCTTCTGTCCCTCTGTCCTTCTGTCCTTCTGTCCTTCTGTCCTTCTGTCCTTCTGTCCCTCTGTCCCTCTGTCCTTCTGTCCCTTCTGTCCTTCTGTCCCTCTGTCCTTCTGTCCTTCTGTCCCTCTGTCCTTCTGTCCTTCTGTCCCTCTGTCCTCTGTCCTTCTGTCCTTCTGTCCCTCTGTCCCTCTGTCCTTCTGTCCTTCTGTCCTTCTGTCCCTCTGTCCTTCTGTCCTTCTGTCCCTCTGTCCTTCTGTCCTTCTGTCCCTCTGTCCCTCTGTCCTTCTGTCCTTCTGTCCTTCTGTCGCTCTGTCCTTCTGTCCCTCTGTCCCTCTGTCCTTCTGTCCTTCTGTCCTTCTGTCCCTCTGTCCTTCTGTCCTTCTGTCCCTCTGTCCTTCTGTCCTTCTGTCCCTCTGTCCCTCTGTCCTCTGTCCCTCTGTCCCTCTGTCCCTCTGTCCCTCTGTCCTCTGTCCTTCTGTCTGTCCTTCTGTCCTTCTGTCCCTCTGTCCTTCTGTCCCTCTGTCCTTCTGTCCTTCTGTCCTTCTGTCCTTCTGTCCTCTGTCCTTCTGTCCTTCTGTCCTTCTGTCCTTCTGTCCTTCTGTCCCTCTGTCCTCTGTCCCTCTGTCCTTCTGTCCCTCTGTCTTCTGTCCTTCTGTCCTTCTGTCCTTCTGTCCTTCTGTGTCACTCTCACCTTTCTTTTTGGAGGTTCCAGCTTGAAATTCCTTCTCCTCCATTTTCACTGACACTTTATTGTACTTCATTCGACAGAAGAAAGAGCGTCGCGCCCCGGAGCAGAGACGAGAGGTGCCCACGGGGAGGTCGGCCTGGACCTGGAGACCGGCTGAAACACGACACACACACACACGAGTCACACACATCAATACTCAGATACAAAATACAAATCAATACTCACAAACTACATGATACTGCACTATGAATACTGAAAGAAGTACTGAAACTAGAGACTCATTTGAACAGGAACTGACACTGAAAAACATCACATGAAGCTGAGACACACTTTATATGTATTTTTGTTTGTTTTTTATTTCATTTATTTTTATAAAAGAGCAGGGTTTATAAGATTTATCTCCTTCCTGTTCCTTTTGTTCGTGCAGCAAAGACGAGGTAAATAATAAGGTACAAATATGTAATTATGTTCATTGTCAGATTTTTTGTTGTTGTTGTCGTCTTTAAGTTGATGCCAACAACATAACAGCATCAGCAACAAATACATTTTGACTTGTACATTTATATTTCTATAATCATGTTGTTTGTTTACACCTGCCTCTTGCCATTTTTGCTACTTAGAAATTATTATTATCGTTTATTTTTTCTCTTTGTTATTATGTTAAATTGTGAGGTGTGATCTCCTGTGTCCAAATAATTTCCCCTGTGGCTCAATTAAGTCTAAAGTGTGAGTTTATATTTAGAAAGAAGCTGTTTCACTCACACAGACACAGACACACACACACACACACACACACACACACACACACAGACACACACACACACACACACACACACAGACACACACACACACACACACAGACACACACACACACACACACACACAGACACACACACACACACACACACAGACACACACACACACACACACACACACACACACACACAGACACACACACACACACACACACAGACACACACAGACACACACACACACACACACACACAGACACACACAGACACACACACACACAGACACAGACACTAGGGGTGGGTATCATCATGAAGCTGCCGATACGATACATATCTCGATATAGTGCTTTTTCGATTCAATACAATATATTTCAAATCGAGTCGATACGGTTCAATAAAAAAACAGTGGCTAAATCGTGGCTGTGACACTAAAAAAAGTCTTTGTTTAACCAATTTTTGTGCAAAAGTTCATATGAACCACAAACATTTTAATCATCAAAACAGTGAAAATGTCAAATGTTTCCCATAAATTATAGTTTTTTTCTTCTGAAAAAGCAAAAAAACTATAACACTGTAACCAAAAAATATATATATAATAATAAAAATAATAAAATAATAATAAAATATACAAAAAAATGGACTTGGTGATATATCGATACAGCAGTCCCCGATATCGATACTGTATCATTACATTAAACAATACGATATATCGATATTTTGATATTTTTGCACACCACTAACAGACACACATACACACACACACACACAGATACACTGATACACACACACACACACACACACACACACACACACACACACACACACACACACAAACACACACACACAGACACACACAAACACAGACACACAGATACACTGATACACACACACACACACACAAACACACAAACACACACATACACACACACACACACACACACAGACACACACACACACAAACACAGATCTGAATGAGTCAGTTTTACTTTTGGCGTCGATGAGTCGTTCTCGGGGGTAGAGCTCAGACGCAGACAGCTGCTCCTTCACTTTGCTCATGTCCTTGGGGTGAATGTAATCAAACAAACTCTGTCCGATCAGCTCGGCCTGAAACACACACACACACACACACACACACACACAGACACACACACACACACACACACACACACACAACACACACACAACACACACACATAATCATAAAATCGACCTGAACCAAAACAACCAGAAACACATCAGGTGCATTGTGTACATTTTCCGTCAAGTGCTTTGTCTGGAATGTTCCACAGTATGGCGTTAAACTTTTCTATCTCCATGGAGACCAAACCAGACCAGATTACAGGTCAGATCTGTGGAGAGGCGACCCCGCTCACAGTCAGAATGTCTGTTCTTATAGGTATTTTTGAGCTTTAAACTCACCTGTAATTGAATAAATGTAAAGTAGAGCTGTTTAATGTCACACTGCGGAACATTCCAGGCAGAGCAATGACATCTCCATAGAAACAACGACGTGATCAACCTCCAACCAAAAAACCCGCACCCGCCCGGACCCGTGATAAATCCAACAACCCAAACCAGGGCTGAACCAGGATTAAACCAGGACTAAACCAAAACTAAACCAGAACTAAACCAGACCTAAACCAAGACTAAACCAGGACTAAACTAAAACTAAACCAGGACTAAACCAAGACTAAACCAGGACTGAACCAGAACTAAACCAGAACTAAACCAGGATTAAACCAGGACTAAACCAAAACTAAACCAGAACTAAACCAGGATTAAACCAGGACTAAACCAAAACTAAACCAGAACTAAACCAAGACTAAACCAAGACTAAACCAGGATTGAACCAGAACTAAACCAGGACTAAACTAAAACTAAACCAGGACTAAACCAAAACTAAACCAGGACTAAACCAAAAGTAAACCAGGACAAAACCAGAACTAAACCAGGACAAAACCAGGACTGAACCAGAACTAAACCAGGACAAAACTAAGACTAAACCAGGACTAAACCAGGACAAAACCAGAACTAAACCAGAACTGAACCAGGACTAAACCAAAACTAAACCAGGACTAACCTAAGACTAAACCAGAACTAAACCAGGACTTAACCAGGACTAAACCTATGCCATGTTGAGTACGTTACTCCTTTTCCTTCATCGTGTTTCACCACTGAAGCTGAAACTGATGTAATGACAGAAGGAAAACCATTACCCTACTATAATTTAAGATCTTTGTCACGGACTCGGAGACAAACAAGATTTTTCCACGATCACAGCCCACGACGAAAAGGAACCCGTCTGCAGCCTGAGAACACGACAGAGAAAGAGAAAAAGAGACGAGGCATCGTTAGAACACGTGAGAGACGATACAACATCACAATACGGAGGATAAATCTGTTTAATGTTGCGTTTCGACGTTGCGTTTCGACGTTGCGTTTCGTGATTTGCTGTTGTGTTTGTTGTGTTTCGAGGTTGTGTTTTTGAGGTTGTATTTGGCGGTTGTGTTTTTGAGGTTGCGTTTGGCGGTTGCGGTTGCGTTTGGGCGGTTGTGTTTGGCGGTTGCCTTTTGGCGGTTGCGTTTTGGTGGTTGCGTTTTGGCGGTTGTGTTTGGCGGTTGTGTTTTGGCGGTTGTGTTTTGGCGGTTGTGTTTTGGCGGTTGTGTTTGGCGGTCGTGTTTTTGAGGTCGTGTTTTGGCGGTCGTGTTTGGCGGTGGTGCTTCGAGGTTGTGTTCTGAAGTTGTGTTTGGTGGTTGAGTTTTTGAGGTTGTGTTTTGTGGTTGCGTTTGGAGGTTGCGTTTTGGCAGTTGTGTTTTTGAGGTCGTGTTTGGCGGTCGTGTTTGGCGGTCGTGTTTGGCGGTCGTGTTTTGTGGTCGTGTTTTGAGGTTGTGTTTTTGCGGTTGTGTTTTGTGGTTGTGTTTGGCGGTTGTGTTTGGCGGTTGCGTTTTGGCGGTTTGCGTTTGGCGGTTGCGTTTTGGCGGTTGTGTTTTGGCGGTTGTGTTTTGGTGGTTAAGTTTTTGAGGTCGTGTTTGGCGGTCGTGTTTTGTGGTTGTGTTTGGCGGTCGTGTTTTGAGGTTGTGTTTGGCGGTCGTGTTTTGAGGTTTGTTTTTTGCGTTGCGTTTTGCGGTTGTGTTTCGTGGTTGCGTTTTGTGGTTGTGTTTTGCGGTCGTGTGTTTTGTGGTTGTGTTTGGCGGTCGTGTTTTGAGGTTGTGTTTTTGCGGTTGCGTTTTTGCGGTTGTGTTTCGTGGTTGCGTTTTGCGGTTGTGTTTGGCGGTCGTGTTTTGTGGTTGTGTTTGGCGGTTGTGTTTGCGGTCGTGTTTTGTGGTTGTGTTTTGGCGGTTGTGTTTTGCGGTCGTGTTGTGTTTTTTGGCGGTTGTGTTTGGCGGTCGTGTTTTGAGGTTGTGTTTTTGCGGGTTGGTTGCGTTTTTGCGGTCGTGTTTCGTGGTTGCGTTTTGCAGTCGTGTTTCGTGGTTGCGTTTTGCAGTCGTGTTTTGTGGTTGCGTTTTTGCGGTCGTGTTTCGTGGTTGCGTTTTGCGGTCGTGTTTCGTGGTTGTGTTTTTGCGGTTGCGTTTCGTGGTTGCGTTTTGCGGTCGTGTTTTGCGGTCGTGTTACCTTAAGCACCAGATGTTTCAGCTCCTCGTCAGGGAGGAATGACGGCTTGTAACTGGCCTCAGAGAACGAACTTCCTGAACCTAAAAAATAACAGCACAATTTCAAACAAATCCACTGAACAAAAAAAGAACCGGTTTCCTCTGTTCTTTGAAACTCTGCACAAGTTTTCATACTTTAACATGAGTCATTTTGCCTCTTTAACTACAGACCTGAGTGTGTGCGACTGTCACTGACTGATCGAGTTTATCTGGTGAGGAAAATTTGGCGGAAAATGTAAATATATCATATAATTATTTAAATATAAATGCTTAAATATATATATATATATATATAATTTTAATATAATTATTATTTTTATAGTGATTTAACTCTTGAAAGAAAATCAACAAAATACAAGATGCAGACGTGTTATTATTTGCAATGTCAAACAGAAGTGATAGTTCCCGTAGTGTGTTTATGTGTTTATGTGTTTGTATGTTTGTTTGTATGTTTGTGTGTTTGTGTGTTTGTGTGTTTGTATGTTTGTATGTTTGTATGTTCGTATGTTTGTATGTTTGTATGTTTGTGTGTTTGTTTGTATGTTTGTGTGTTTGTGTTTGTATGTTTGTGTGTTTGTGTGTTTGTTTGTATGTTTGTGTGTTTGTATGTTTGTGTGTTTGTATGTTTGTGTGTTTGTTTGTGTGTTTGTGTTTGTTTGTGTGTTTGTGCGTTTGTGTGTTTGTATGTTTGTGTTTGTCTGTCTGTGTGTTCGTGTGTTTGTTTGTTTATGTGTGTTTGTATGTTTGTATGTTTGTATGTTTGTATGTTTGTATGTTTGTATGTTTGTATGTTTGTTTGTTTGTGTGTTTTGTTTGTATGTTTGTTTGTGTGTTTGTGTTTGTATGTTTGTGTGTTTGTATGTTTGTTTGTATGTTTGTGTGTTTGTATGTTTGTGTGTGTATGTTTGTGTGTTTGTTTGTGTGTTTGTGTTTGTTTGTGTGTTTGTGCGTTTGTGTGTTTGTATGTGTGTGTTTCTACCTTTGAGCGAGCGCAGGTGCTGCAGGGCCATCTTCAGTTTGTGTTTCTGTTTGTCTGTCTGTGTGTTTGTGTGTATGTTTGTATGTTTGTATGTTTGTGTGTTTGTTTGTATGTATGTGTTTGTATGTATGTGTTTGTACCTTTGAGCGAGCGCAGGTGCTGCAGGGCCATCCTCAGTTGTGTTTCTGTTGTTTGTTTGTCTGTTGTTTGTTTGTGTTGTGTTTGTGTTTGTGTGTTGTGTGTGTTGTGTGTTTGTATGTTTGTGTGTGTGTGTTTGTGTGTATTGTTTGTGTTTGTTTGTTATGTGTTTGTGTTTGTACCTTTGAGCGAGCGCAGGTGCTGCAGGGCCATCCTCAGTTTGTGTTTGTTTGTTTGTTTATTTGTTTGTTTGTCTGTGTGTTTGTGTGTTTGTGTGTGTGTGTGTGTTTGTGTGTGTGTTTGTGTGTGTGTGTGTGTGTTTGTACCTTTGAGCGAGCGCAGGTGCTGCAGGGCCATCCTCAGTTTGTGTTTCTGTTTGTTTGTTTGTCTGTCTGTGTGTTTGTGTGTTTGTGTTTGTGTGTTTTGTGTGTTTGTGTTTTGTTTGTATGTTGTTGTGTTTGTTTGTATGTGTTGTGTTTGTACCTTTGAGCGAGCGCAGGTGCTGCAGGGCCATCCTCAGTTTGTGTTTGTGTTTGTGTTTGTTTGTTTGTTTGTTTGTCTTGTGTCTGTGTGTGTGTGTGTCTGTGTGTTTGTGTGTTTGTCTGTCTGTGTGTCTGTGTGTTTGTGCGTTTGTGTTGTGTGTGTGTGTGTGTGTGTGTTTGTACCTTTGAGCGAGCGCAGGTGCTGCAGGGCCATCCTCAGTTTGTGTTTCTGTTTGTTTGTTTGTATGTTTGTGTGTTTGTATGTTTGTGTGTGTTTGTGTTTGTTTGTGTGTATGTTTGTGTGTGTTTGTTTGTGTGTTTGTACCTTTGAGCGAGCGCAGGTGCTGCAGGGCCATCCTCAGTTTGTGTTTCTGTTTGTTTGTTTGTCTGTCTGTGTGTTTGTGTGTTTGTGCGTTTGTGTGTTTGTGTGTTTGTGTTTGTTTGTATGTTTGTGTGTTGTGTTTGTTTGTATGTTTGTGTTTGTACCTTTGAGCGAGCGCAGGTGCTGCAGGGCCATCCTCAGCACCGTCAGCTTGTCCAGTTTGCGGGACATGGGGTTGGGGATGGGGATCATGGTGGACAGTTTGTCGATCAGGTTGTTCATTCGGACTCGTCTCCTCTTTTCTATTTGACTGTGTGGTTCCCTGCGGAGAAACGACACCGGAAATGACACCTCGGAATAAAACAAACACACAAACAGAAATCGGACTTGGGAACATCGAAGCACTGACCTGCAGCATTTGATTTTCACGTGTTGGTCCTCTCCGTCCGACCTGTTCAACCAACCAACAAACATAAAGACGCACGGTGTAACTCATTATCGTTTTGTCTGGAAAGTTCCACAGTGTGGCATTAAACCTTTCTATCTTCACGGAGACCAAACCAGACCAAGTGACAGGTCAGATCTGTGGAGGGGCGACCCCGCTCACAGCCAGAATGTTTGTTTTTCTAGTTGTTTTTTGAGCTGTAAAACTATAATGTTTAATAAATGTTTAATGTCACACTGTGGAACATTCCAACAGAGCAATGACGTCTCCATAGAAACAAGCAGGTGACGGACCCTCCACCAGAAAAAGTTGCACAATGCAGCTTTAATTAGTAACAACTCGGTCTTGTCTCAGTCTTGTCTCGGTCTCGACTCAGTCTCGACTCTCAGAGGTCTCAGTCTTGTCTTGGCTTTGTCTCGATCTCGATCTTTAAAAGTCTCACTCTTGTCTCGGTCTCGAGCCTCAGAGGTCTTGGTCTTGTCTCGGTCTTGTTTCTCAGAGGTCTCGGTCTTGTCTTGGCCTTGTCTTGGTCTTGATCTTTAAAAGTCTCGGTCTTGTCTTGGTCTCGATTCTCAGAGGTCTCAGTCTTGTCTCGGCCTTGTCTCGGTCTCGATCTTTAAAAGTCTCAGTCTTGTCTCGGTCTCGAGCCTCAGAGGCCTTGGTCTTGTCTCGGTCTTGTCTCGGTCTTGCCTCGGTCTCGACTCTCAGAGGCCTCGGTCTTGTCTCGGTCTTGTCTCGGTCTTGCCTCGGTCTCGACTCTCAGAGGCCTCGGTCTTGTCTCGGTCTTGTCTCGGTCTTGTCTCGGTCTTGTCTCGGTCTTGTCTCGGTCTTGTCTCGGTCTTGTCTCGGTCTTTCTCAGAGATCTCGGTCTTGATCTTTAAAAGTCTCGGTCTTGACACTCAGCGGTCTCAGTCTTGCCTTGGCCTTGTCTTGGTGTCGACCTTTAAAAGTCTTGGCCTTGTCTCGGTCTTGTCTCGATCTTGTCTCGGTCTTGTCTCGATCTTGTCTCGATCTTGTCTCGGTCTTGTCTCGGTCTTGTCTCGGTCTTGTCTCGGTCTTGTCTCGATCTTGTCTCGATCTTGTCTCGGTCTTGTCTCGGTCTTGTCTCGATCTTGTCTCGGTCTTGTCTCGATCTTGATCTTTAAAAGTCTCGGTCTTGACACTCAGAGGTCTCAGTCTTGTCTTGGCCTTGTCTTGGTCTCGACCTTTAAAAGTCTTGGTCATGTCTCGGTCTCGGACTACAACACTAGACTAACAGATACTTAAATCCCTCGTATCAGAATCGGTATCGGAACCTAAAAAGTGGGATCGGCGCAGCTGACGAGGCGCAGGTGTTTTGTTTTGTTTATATTAAATCTCTCACCCGTCGTCTTCCATATCTTCATCGAACATGGAGGCAGGTTTGGGTTCCCTACGTTCAGAAAGAAAGAAAACGTGAAAGATTGGTCCTGATGTAAAAGAACTCCGGGTCAGAGTTGATTTGGGACTCACTGGTCGGTGCTCCCTTTGCGTTTCCGCGGCAACTCCATGTTTAAGGACACGGGAGCCGAGGAGGAGCTCATCAGGTCGGACAGACACATGGACGAGTTCTCCTCCCCCAGGACATCGTCTGGAAACACGACGAGAAGAACAGCACGTCAGGAGAGAGCGAGGAAATCTGCACCCGAGACCAGGACTAAACCAGGACTGAACCAGGACTGAACCAGGACTAAAACAGGACTAAACCAGGACTAAAACAGGACTAAACCAGGACTAAAAACAGGACTAAAACAGGACTAAACCAGGAAAAAACAGGACTAAACCAGGACTAAAACAGGACTAAACCAGGACTAAACCAGGACTAAACCAGGACTAAAAACAGGACTAAACCAGGACTAAAACAGGACTAAACCAGGACTAAAACAGGAATAAACCAGGACTAAAACAGGACTAAACCAGGACTAAACCAGGACAGGACTAAACCAGGACTAAACCAGGTCTAAACAGGACTAAAACAGGACTGAAACCAGGACTAAACCAGGTCTAAAACAGGAATAAACCAGGACTAAACCAGGACTAAAACAGGACTAAACCAGGTCTAAAATAGGAATAAACCAGGACTAAACCAGGACTGAAACCAGGACCTAAAACCAGGACTAAAACAGGACTGAACCAGGACTAAACCAGGTCTAAAACAGGACTAAACCAGGACTAAAACAGGAATAAACCAGGACTAAAACAGGAATAAACCAGGACTAAAACAGGAATAAACCAGGACTGAACCAGGACTAAACCAGGTCTAAACCAGGTCTAAAACAGGACTGAACCAGGTCTAAAACAGGACTAAACCAGGACTAAAACAGGACTAACTAAACAGGACTAAACAGGACTGAACCAGGACTAAACCAGGTCTAAACCAGGTCTAAACCAGGACTAAAGCAGGACTAAAACAGGACTAAACCAGGTCTAAACCAGGTCTAAAACAGGAATAAACCAGGACTAAACCAGGACTCTCTAAAACAGGAATAAACCAGGACTAAACCAGGACTAAAACAGGACTAAACCAGGTCTAAAACAGGAATAAACCAGGACTAAACCAGGACTAAACCAGGTCTAAAACAGGTCTAAAACAGGACTAAACCAGGTCTAAACCAGGTCTAATCTCCTCCGCTGATGGTTTTCTGTAATAAAAACACTAAAGTCTCTCTCAGTCTGGTCCATGAAATCATTTTGGGAAAAAAAAGGGAAATGTCTCTTATTTCCAGAACGACGACGTTCTGAACACACATGAAGTAGTTTTCTCCCGTTTGTCGTTCATTTGATTCACCTGACCTGCCTGTTATTAATCACTACCCGCCCAAATACTCGCCCGGAACATTCCAGAACGTTAAAACCCAACCCGGTGCAGGACTCTGGTTTGGGTTTTGAAAAAAAAAAAAAAAAAAAAAAAGGTCAAACACCGAGTTCACATGTTTCAAAACGCATCTTCAACGCATTTTCAATTAACGAAATAAAAAATTATGAAGTGAACGTGTGATTTACGATTTAGGTCTTCAGAATCCGTGTGTCATTCATTTATTTGTTTTTCAATATAAAATCAAAAATAAGAAAATACAATTTTCTTCATTATTTGTCTCCAAAACCAAAATGAAAAAACAGATAAAGATTTGTTTTTTCAGTTTTCGATTTTTGTGTTTTAAATGAAAAATGGAAAAAACAGATAACGGCCGTTTCCGGTTTACGTGACTTCAGTGACTGCGATGCCGGACTGTTTGCACCGCGTACGGACTGAACCAGGACTGATCCAGGACCGGGACCAGACCGGGACTGAGACCGGAACCAGAGCGGGACCAGAGCGGGACCGGACCGGGACCAGAGCGGACTCCGAGCTTTGACTCGGAGCCTCCGCAGGGTCCGAGCCTCAGCTTTGAGCTCTGGCCCTGCTGTGGGTTCTGAGCCTCCAGATTGGTCCCGGCCTGGTCCCGGTCTCAGTCGGTCAATCTAGTCCCGTTCTGGTCCCAGCCTCAGTCCCGCTCTGGTCCCCGGTCTGGCCCCGGTCTGGTCTCAGTCTCAGTCTTGCTCTGGTCCCGGTCTCAGTCCCAGTCTGGTCCCGGTCTGGTCTCGGTCTGTCTCGGTCCCGGTCTGCGTCCCAGTCTGGTCCCGGTCTCAGTCCCGGTCTCAGTCCCGGTCTGGTCCCGGTCTGGTCCCGGTCTGGTCCCGGTCTCAGTCCCGGTCTCAGTCCCGGTCTGGTTCCGGTCTGGTCCCGGTCTCAGTCCCGGTCTCAGTCCCGTCTCAGTCCCGGTCTCAGTCCCGGTCTCAGTCCCGGTCTGGTTCCGGTCTGGTCCCGGTCTCAGTCCCGGTCCCAGTCCCGGTCTGGTTCCGGTCTGGTCTCGGTCTGCGTCCCGGTCTCAGTCCCGGTCTGGTCCCGGTCTCGGTCCCGGTCCCAGTCCGGTCTGGTCCCGGTCTGGTCCAGTCCTGGATCAGTCCGACATCTCAGTCACTGAAGTCACGTAAACAGGAAACGGTCGTTATCCGTTTTTTCCATTTTTCATTTAAACACAAAATCGAAAACTGAAAAAACGAATCATTATCTGTTTTTTTCATTTTGTTTTTTGAGACAAATAACGAAGAAATTATTATTTTTTTTTTTCTGTTTTCTTATTTTTGGTTTTATATTGAAAAACAAATGAACGAACGACACACGGATTCTTCAAATTTGTCATTTTTAATTTAGAAAAGAATCCCACACACCGTTTTATTTACGAATTGTGATTTTAATTAGAATTAGACCTTCATCGGGTAAAAAACTTTGTTGAAGTTCTAATTAAATCCACAATTTGCAAGTAGAACGTTCTTGTATATTAATTTTAAGTGAAAAAATCCTGCGTAAATGTTTTATTACAAGAGAGAAATCGCAAAATAACATGTTTTTCTTCCGTCTCGGTGCAGCTGGAGTCAAATCACAGCGACGGAAAAACAAATACCTGAATTAAAATATGTTCCGTGCTCGATCCAATCAGAGCCGTGTGTTCTGAATACTTTAAATACTTTTACGTCGAGATGTATTTAAATTACAGGGTAAAGACGGAACATGAGACTAAAAATAGTTTCATGTTTGATTCAACATTTGTTCGACGTTTATTTGACACTGATCAGAAAAGGAAAAAAATAAAAATAACGGCACAACTACCAGGACTAAACCAGGACTAAACCAGGACCAAACCAAGAACTAAACCAGGACTAAACCAAAACAGGACAGGACTAAACCCAAACCAGGACTAAACCAGGACTAAACCAGGACCAAACCAGGACTAAACCAGGACTGAACCAGGACCAAACCAAGAACTAAACCAGGACTAAACCAGGACTAAAACCAAGGACTAAACCAGGATTAAACAAGGACTAAATCAAGTCTAAATCAGGGCTAAATGTGGATTAAACCAGAACTAAACCAGGACTAAATCAGGACTAAACCAGGTCTACATCAGGGCTAAATGTGGATCAAACCAGGACTAAACAAGAATTAAGCCAGGACTAAACCAGGACTAAACCAGGACTAAACCAATTCCACATTAGGGCTAAAAATGGATCAAACCAGAACTAAACCAGGACTAAATGTGGATCAAACCAGGATTAAACAAGAATTAAGCCAGGACCAAACCAGGACTAAACCAGGACTAAATGTGGATCAAACCAGGAAAACTAAACCAGGACTAAACCAGGACTAAACAAGGTCTACATCAGGGCTAAACATGGACCAAACCAGGACTAAACCAATTCCACATTAGGGCTAAAAATTGATCAAACCAGGACCAAACCAAGTTTAAATCAGAGGTAAATGTGGATTAAAAACCAGGACTAAAACAGAATTAAACCAGGTCTACATCAGGGCTAAACGTGGATCAAATGAGAATTAAACCAGGACTAAATCAGGACCAAACCAGGTCTACATCAGGGCTAAATGTAGATCAAACCAGGACTAAACCAAGACCAAATCAAGGCTACATCAGGACTAAACCTGGATCAAACCAAGTCTAAATCGGGGCTAAATGTGGATTAAACCAGGACTAATCCAGAACTAAACCAGGACCAAATCAAGTCTACATCAGGATCAAACCAGGACTAAAGCAGGACTAAACCAGGACTAAACCAGACCCAAACCAAGTCTACATCAGGGCTAAACATGGATCAAACCAGAACTAAACCAGGACCAAACCAGGACTAAACCAGGACTAAACCAGGACTAAACCTGGACTAAAAGGGACTAAACCAGGACTAAACCAGGACTAAACCAGGTCTAAACGTGGATCAAACCTTGCAAACAGACAACTCATAAAGTTTTACTCAAACATGTGAACGAAAACCAACGAAAAACAAACATGTTTCTAAAGTAAAGTGGATATTTTCAGCTCTGTCACTGCCTCGGGGACAGAATCACTTCCCTTTTGTGTGTTTTTGTCACGTGTTCGTTTTGGTTTTAACTCAAACACAGATTCGGTCGAGAAACACGGGAGCAGGAAATAGAAGTTGTAAATCGGCCCAGAGCGGAGACAGTTTTTGATCGTGTTCTCGAAGCCCCGTGACCCAAATAACCATTAACAGATCAGCGGGAACCTGATGTTTAATCCTGCTTCCTCCGTCGAGATCTGTGGATTACAGGGTCACGGAGACGGACACGAAACCAAACGAGACACGAGACGAGATGAGACGAGATGAGACGAGATGAGACGTTTCACCGCAGACGATTCTGATTGATTCGACTCACACGATGATTCTGGACATGATTCTCCCGAGTTTAACCTGAGCAGCAGCGGCGGCGGGGAATTTACACCGGGTCTAAACCAGGACTAAACCAGGACTAAACCAAGTCTACATCAGGGCTAAACTTGGATCAAATTTGAACTAAAGCAGGTCAAAACCAGGACCAAACTAAATCTATATCAGGGCTAAACATGGCTCAATCCAGGTCTAAAGTGGGACTAAACCAGGATTAAACCAAGTCTACATCAGGGCAGAATGTGGATCAAACCAGGACAACACCAGGACTAAAACAGGACCAAACCAAGTCTAAATCAGGGCTAAACCGGGATCAAACCAGGACTAAACCCCAGAACTAAACCAGGAGCGAAGCAGGACTGAAACAGGACCAAATCAAGTCTAAATCAGGGCTAAACCTGGATCAAACTAAATCTATATCAGGGCTAAACGTGGCTCAATCCAGGTCTAAAGTGGGACTAAACCAGGATTAAACCAAGTCTAAATCAGGGCTAAACCTGGATCAAACCAGGAATAAACCAGGTCTAAACCAGGACCAAACTCCATCAGGGTTAAATGTTGATTAAATCAGGATTAAACTAGGACTAAACCAGGACTAAACTAAGTCTAAATCAGGGCTGAATGTTGATCAAACCAGGACTAAAACAGGATTAAACCAGGACTAAACCAGGACTAAACCAAGTCTACATCAGGGCTAAACTTGGATCAAATTTGAACTAAACCAGGTCTAAACCAGGACCAAACTAAATCTATATCAGGGCTAAACGTGGCTCAATCCAGGTCTAAAGTGGGACTAAACCAGGATTAAACCAAGTCTACATCAGGGCAGAATGTGGATCAAACCAGGACAACACCAGGACTACAACAGGACTAAACCAGGACCAAACCAAGTCTAAATCAGGGCTAAACCGGGATCAAACCAGGACTAAACCCCAGAACTAAACCAGGAGCGAAGCAGGACTGAAACAGGACCAAACCAAGACTACATCAGGGCTAAACCTGGATCAAACCAGGAATAAACCAGGTCTAAACCAGGACCAAACTCCATCAGGGTTAAATGTTGATTAAATCAGGATTAAACTAGGACTAAACCAGGACTAAACTAAGTCTAAATCAGGGCTGAATGTTGATCAAACCAGGACTAAAACAGGATTAAACCAGGACCAAACCAGATCTAGAACAGGACTAAAACAGGACCAAACCAAGTCTACATCGAGGCTAAACGTGGCTCAAACCAGGATTAAACTAGGAACTAATCCAGGACTAAACCAGGACTAATCCAGGACTAATCCAGGACTAATCCAGGACTAAACCAGGACTAAACCAGGACTAAACCAGGACTAATCCAGGACTAATCCAGGACTAAACCAGGACTAAACCAGGACTAAACCAGGACTAAACCAGGACTACATCAGAGTTAAATGTTGATCAAACCAGGAATAAACAAGGACTAAAACAGGACTAAACCAAGTCTACATCAGGGCTAAACTTGGATCAAATTTGAACTAAACCAGGTCTAAACCAGGACCAAACTAAATCTATATCAGGGCTAAACGTGGCTCAATCCAGGATTAAAAAACAGGATTAAACCAGGACTAAACCAAGTCTACATCAGGGCAGAATGTGGATCAAACCATGACAACACCAGGACTAAAACAGGTCTAAACCAGGACTAAACCCCAGAACTAAACCAGGAGCGAAGCAGGACTGAAACAGGACCAAATCAAGTTTACATCAGGGCTAAACCTGGATCAAACCAGGAATAAACCAGGTCTAAACCAGGACCAAACTCCATCAGGGTTAAATGTTGATTAAATCAGGATTAAACTAGGACTAAACCAGGACTAAACTAAGTCTAAATCAGGGCTGAATGTTGATCAAACCAGGACTAAAACAGGATTAAACCAGGACCAAACCAGATCTAGAACAGGACTAAAACAGGACCAAACCAAGTCTACATCGAGGATAAACGTGGCTCAAACCAGGATTAAACTAGAACTAATCCAGGACTAAACCAGGACTAATCCAGGACTAATCCAGGACTAAACCAGGACTAATCCAGGACTAAACCAGGACTAATCCAGGACTAATCCAGGACTAAACCAGGACTAATCCAGGACTAATCCAGGACTAATCCAGGACTCCAGGAAATCCAGGACTAACCAGGACTAATCCAGGACTAAACCAGGACTAAACCAGGACTAAACCAGGACTACATCAGAGTTAAATGTTGATCAAACCAGGAATAAACAAGGACTAAAACAGGACTAAACCAAGTCTACATCAGGGCTAAACTTGGATCAAATTTGTACTAAACCAGGTCTAAACCAGGACCAAACTAAATCTATATCAGGGCTAAACGTGGCTCAATCCAGGTCTAAACTGGGACTAAAACAGGATTAAACCAGGACTAAACCAAGTCTAAATCAGGGCAGAATGTGGATCAAACCAGGACTACACCAGGACTAAAACAGGACTAAACCAGGACCAAACTAAGTCTAAACCAGGTCTAAACCAGGTGTAAACTAAGTCTACATCAGGACTAAACATGGCACAAATCAGGACTAAACTGGGACTAAAACAGGATTAAACCAAGTCTAAATCAGCGTTAAATGTGGATTAAATCAGGACTAAACCAGGACTAAAACAGGACTAAACCAGGACCAAACCAAGTCTAAACCAGGTGTAAACTAAGTCTACATCAGGACTAAACATGGCACAGATAAAACAGGACTAAACAAGGTCTAAACCAGGATTAAACCAGGTCTAAACCAGACGTGTGAACACACCCTGAGCTCAGCGTTCGTCTGACTCAGTTTTCTCTGCCCTTTGCATTTTGTGAGGAAATAATCAAGTCTTTGTGTAAAATAAATAAATATAAATAAATAAAAACACGTTTGCACAAACCGAGGTCAATTCTGTGCGGATTAGTGCAAATTTTAGATTAAATAATTGGATTAACTTCAACATTTATGAGATCTGCCCTGAACCTTTGTGACAGAAGCATTAACTGTCGGATAATTAAGAGATCATGAAAGTTGTTTGGTCAGTTTGAGTTTGAGTCACACAGGAATAACACGGGAATGAGGATTTAAACTGTAATAACTGAATTATAACAAAAATAAAACGCTGCATTTTAAATTTAAAGTCACAAGTCTGTGTTTGGGATTGTGGGAAACCAGGATCTAAGCAGGACTGAAACAGGACCAAACCAAGACTACAGCAGGACTAAATGTGGCTCAAACCTGAACTAAACTGGGACTAAACCAGGACTAAATCAGGGTTAATGTGGATCAAACCAGGAGTAAACCAAGTCTACATCAGGACTAACCTTGGATCAAACCAGATTTAAACCAGGACTAATTCAAGTCTAAATCAGGGCTAAACATGGCTCAAACCAGGATTAAACCGGGACTAAAACAGGATTAAACAGGACTGAACTAGGACTAAACCAGGACTAAAATAGGACCAAATCAAGTCTACCTCTGGGCTAAATGTGGATCGGACTAGGACTAAACCAGGATTAAACCAAGTTTAAATCAGGGTTAAATGTGGACTAAACTGGGACTAAACTAGAACTAAACCAGGACCAAACCAAGCTTACGTAAGGGCTAAATGTGGATCAAACTAGGACTAAACCAGGACTAAACTAGGACCAAACCAAGTCTAAATCAGGACTAAACATGGCTCAAACCAGGA